AGTGGCTACTTCAGCAGTCGCAGAGGATTTTCAAACAAGGAGAATGGACTGGTAGGCATTTGGCCTGGCTTGCCCCGAGAATAAACCCTTGCTATGAGTGTGCCGGAATCTGTGACTATTACAGAGTGCTTTGCTTCCTACTATGAAGAGGCTGTACACATCAAGGGTGACCTATATGCCTGATGAACTGAGCTCCTATCTCTTGCAGGTGGACTTTCCTTTTCTGACTAAAATGTAGTGACAGTGTAGATTATCTCATTACATTGAAAGAAGTGCAGATAGCTATATCCTCCCTGCCATCTGGAAAGACCCCAGGACGGGTTTCCCGTAGAGTTCTATAAAATATATGCAGAGGACTTAGCTCCTCGATTATATGCTATGTGAACTCATTGAGGACTGGGGCCCTTCCTTCCTCTTTTTGAGGCGGTGATAGTGGTGGTTCCCAAGCCTGGTAACGATCTGGATTTCCGTTCCTCCTATCCCATCTCGTTGCCAAATGTGGACGCCAAGCTGCTTACAAAAATTGTGGCCCACCATTTAAATTTGGTAATAACAGAATTGGTACACCCGTATCAATCAGGGTTTATGCCAGGTAGAGATACAGATATTATTAGATGCTTGTTTACACACACAGCTCTCACTACTGAGGATGCCTCAGGGGTGGTCACTTCTCTCGACACTGAGAAAGCATTTGATTAGATTGAATGGGAGTATTTGTGGAGGATTTGGGGATCTTTTGGCTTTGGACCCGATTTCATTGTGTGGCAGAAGCTTTTGTATCATAGCCCGGTAGCTACAGTGCAGGTAAATGGAATGCTGTCTGCTCTCTTCCCCTTGCATAGAGGGACAAGGCAGGGCTGTCTGCATTCCCTAGGTGTGTTTGTACTTGCCATTGATCCCCTGGTGATTCCTTTGTGTCAGGACCGACGGGTGAGGGGCATTAAGGTGGGGACGTGACATGAAAAAATTTCTTTACATGCAGACGATACCTTTCTGTACCTTCAAGATGTGGATTTCTCCTTACAATCTGCTCTGAATATTATAGACTTGTTTGGTCAATTTTCTAGTATCCGGGTCAATTGGGAAAAGTCAGTCCTATTCTCCCTTCACCCCTCAGGCTCGGGTGTAAACACAGGTATGCCAATACAGTGGGTGGAGGAGTTCACTTACCTGGGAGTCAGAGTGCGGGGTTGGTTAGAGTCTTATTAAGAGGATAGTATTGCTCCTTTAATTTCCCAATTTGCTCAAGAATGTCAAGTCTGGCATGCACTGCTCTTGTCCCCAGTAGGCAGAGTGAACTAGTTGGGGACATAAACTATTAAAAATGGTTTATGTCCCAAAAATTTCTGTATTTGTAAACGATTTGGTGTTTTTTGTTAAGCTGGATGGAACAATAGTCTCCTTTTTGCATGGTCAGGCAAGACTACTAGACTAGTGTGGAGGACACTTCAACTGGCCCTCTCTTAAGGGAGATTGGCTCTGCCTAATTTTTAACTTTATTACTGGGCAGCAGTGCTTGTAACTGTACAATGGTGGTTTAGTCAGTCTAAGCATAACCTGGCAGTTACTCTAGAGGCAGCTCTCTTAGGATCTTATGCTGCCTTGAGTAATTTGGTTTACCGAGGTCCCAGGGCCCACACCTTAGTCACAGGACCCATGCGTGCGACGATTGGTGTGTGGGTACAAGCCAGGGCAATTTATAGGGCGGAGGCCACCTACTCCCCTCACATTCCCCTTTGGGGTAATTCTCAGTTGTGACATCTTTTTTAACTTCCAGATCTCCAGGTATAGGCTGCCCAGGTAATTGTCACTGACAGGAAAGTTCTCCTTCACAGTACTGTAATAAACGAGCAACCATTCATTTCTGATATTTACAGCTGAGACACTTGGCGCGGGCCCCAATTCCCAGACACAATTATATTCCAATCTGATTTGGTAAAGCGCTTATTGACATTGAAGGTGATGGGAAAACCTTTGTCTTCCCTTTTATCTTTGTTTATCGGTGGCACACACCTCTACTTCTGCCAAAACCTTTAACAAATAGAAAACTGATATCCCTGACCTCACTGATGATGACTAGAAAGGGTGTATAGGTCCCTATGTTGCTAACATGATTTCTGCTATGGATGCAGCTAAAGTTCCTACATAAGGTTTATTATACCCCGCAGAGGCTGGCGGCCATTTACCCTTCGTTTAGTCTCGTCTGTATGTGCTGTCATTTCTCCATTGGTACCTTTTTTCATATGGTGTGGCAATGCCCATCTATTAGTTCTTATTGGGAATCGATGGTTGATACCCTGAAGGCCCAGTGTGAATGGCCTTTACAACTTGATCCAAAGCTGCGGTCCCACTGCTGTATAAGTTAACCTATGAGTGCAGAAATCGTCCCAAAAATTTGATAAAATATGGTCAGCCTGGATTGATGCTAATGATGCAAATGAGGATGTCTAAGTATGGAGGATTGGTGTAGCAATTCTTGTGATACTTTTAACCTGGCACTACCAACTTTTACACCCAACCCCCCCCCCCCCCCCCCCCCCCCCCCCCACCCCCATATCTTTTTTTTTTCCTCCTTACTCTCCTCCTCTGCTGTGGTTGTTGCAGGTGCGACACTACCCCCCTGCTATGGTAATATGCATTAATAACTTTCCTCTGTTCTTTCTATCATCTGACCTTTATGTATTATGACTTGATGCTTTCAGTGGCCTCTTCTGGAGGCCTGTTCATGCTAAGATGTCTGTGTTCCTTTGACAGTCATAGTTGTATCTAACCTGAGCAATATACAATAAACGTTTTACCTGTTGCAAAAAAATGCTAACTTTCAGAGTTTGAGTAAAAAATGTGTTCCCGCACACCTAAATGTCTCCTCAGCAGGCTACTAGCACTGATTGTGAATCACAAAGCACAAAAGTAAGAAAATATATATGCTATTTGCAACGCTCAATGAAATAATTACCTCTGCCTATAACCGGTGTTAGAGTAATGTACTTATTTTGAAAAATAAAGATAAACACAGCGCAAACATAGACCTCTACATCAAATCAACATACAAAGTGCAAACATATATAGAAAATTAATTTATAATTAGTTAAATTAATAGTGAAGTCCATCAAAATTAATAAACCAAAGTTCAAAAAATCTCAAAAAAATATATTTTGTGCAAAAAGAAGTTTTTCAAATTCTTCTTCTATTATAAAGAAACTTCCACCTTCCACCCGTGAAAACCAACATCAAATGCACTCACCAGATTTAGGTGAATGAAACGCCTTTAAGGAATTTATGGGCTCCTAAACCCTCTTTCGTATCCACTCTGTAGGAATCCTCACCTCCAGCATAGGCTCCACCATACGACCAGGGAGAAAAAATCTCAGATAGTGTAATATTGCAAAACACCATTCATAAGTGAAATCAAGGATTAAGGCCACTCACATTAAAATCACTTTAAAAAGGCATATTTATTAGGACCAGCTTCTTTCCAGATGAACAGTAGATGTAAGGCAACCTCCCACGGAATCTCACATCACAGCTCCAGGTTACAGCAGAAGCTCCACAGAGACCACACATCTACAGATCCCAAAAATGGCCGCTGGAACGCACCGCTCAGCGTGCGCTCCACTCACCGGAAGTGACGTCAGACGTAAGGAGTAACAACCGGAAATGCGTCAACGCGTTTCGCCCCTCCCATCGGGCGTTCTCAAGAACTTGAGAACAAGGTCTTGAGAACGCCCAATGGGAGGGGCGAAACGCGTTGACGCATTTCCGGTTGTTACTCCTTACGTCTGACGTCACTTCCGGTGAGTGGAGCGCACGCTGAGCGGTGCGTTCCAGCGGCCATTTTTTGGGATCTGTAGATGTGTGGTCTCTGTGGAGCTTCTGCTGTAACCTGGAGCTGTGATGTGAGATTCCGTGGGAGGTTGCCTTACATCTACTGTTCATCTGGAAAGAAGCTGGTCCTAATAAATATGCCTTTTTAAAGTGATTTTAATGTGAGTGGCCTTAATCCTTGATTTCACTTATGAATGGTGTTTTGCAATATTACACTATCTGAGATTTTTTCTCCCTGGTCGTATGGTGGAGCCTATGCTGGAGGTGAGGATTCCTACAGAGTGGATACAAAAGAGGGTTTAGGAGCCCATAAATTCCTTAAAGGCGTTTCATTCACCTAAATCTGGTGAGTGCATTTGATGTTGGTTTTCACGGGTGGAAGTTTCTTTATAATAGAAGAAGAATTTGAAAACTTCTTTTTGCACAAAATATATTTTTGAGATTTTTTGAACTTTGGTTTATTAATTTTGATGGACTTCACTATTAATTTAACTAATTATAAATTAATTTTCTATATATGTTTGCACTTTGTATGTTGATTTGATGTAGAGGTCTATGTTTGCGCTGTTTATCTTTATTTTTCACAATTTGTGTTGACCACATTGCACAGCAGCAGGATAGAACCTGAAGTAGGGTGTTTCACTGGGCGCAGGAAGAATTTTTAGTTTTAATGTACTTATTTACAGCTTTGCGTACCTTCGCTTTTCACTGCTTCATAAAATGGCACAATGTAAAATTTACAAATTTGTTATTCAATACAGTCTTCCCTTTTGGTAGGAATTTTGTAGGGTCTGTTGTGTTCATGTCTGCTAATAATGATTTTAGTGTATTTTTTTGTGAAAATTACTTTTTGATAAACCTGTGCACAACTATTTCGGGATATGAAAACAAAAAAATTAGTATCACCTTCTTTTTATTCTACCTATTCGGTGCTTGCAGAAAATGTATGGTTTAGGGGGTAATTTACAATCTCTGAAAGCTGCAAGTGAAAAAAGAAACAAAAGAAATATATTTTTAAAAAATGGTTTGGCCACCTGTGTTTTAAAGTGGAGCACAGGGCCTGGCAACAAAAGTGTTAAAGGTATTTTACCCTGAGTCAAAGTAATCATTGTATTTAATAAATTCTGTATATTGATTGTGTTCTTGTCCTCACAGAATGATTTCTTTCATTTCAGGGAGTGCCACTCCCCATTTTATCAGGCAACAGAGGATTTGGAAGGTAAGCACTTAAAGCTAAACCGGTTTATAGGTGAGGCCCTTATCAAAATGGGATATTGGTGGAACTTACTAGGTATGCATTGGAACTGTACAGCACAAATGCCTTTACTTGGTGTATTTAACATAGTGTTTTACCTATAGTTGTGCATTAAAGTGGTAGTAAAGTCACTTTGTATATTTTTACCAACAGGTAATCCTATAATAAAGCTTACCGGTAGGAAAAATTAATATCTCCTAAACGTTCACTGTTTAGGAGATATTCTATGGAGCAGCAGCCGGTGAGAATACTGTCGCATGCACTCTGAAGAAACGGCATACCCGTGCCGTTCCTTCAGAGCTGTGTGCTGTGGCTGAAACTCCTGTTCACACTCAATGATGTCATTGGTGGCTCAGCCATTCAAGCAGCCGCCAGTTCTTTAACCACTTGCCCTCCATAGGATTTTACTTCTGAAAAACAACCCCGCACCATAATCCCCCCTTCACCAAACTTATACTTGACAAAATGCAGTCAGTCAAGTACTGTTCCCCTTGCAACCCCCAAACCCAGACGCGGCAGCATGCACTGACTCCGCTCAGTCATTTTACGTGACTTAACAGTTGGATCTAGAATATCTAGCAGCAAGGAAATTTCATGGATGGACTTTTTGCACAGATGGCAACCTATCACGGTACCACACTTGTATTCACTGAGCTCTTGAGGGTAACCCATTTTTCACAAATGTTTGTAGAAGCAGTCTGTATGCCTAGGTGCTTGATTTTATACACCTGTGGCCATGGAGGTGATTGAAACACCTGAATCCAATGATTTGAGGGGTGTCCCAATACATTTGGCAATATAGTGTATTTTAAACATTTGGATTGTTTTGGCGGTTTTGATACCGCACTTATTCACTTGATTCTATCTAAGATTATAAATGTAATAAGTGATTAAAACCTTTTGTCTATACATGAATTTAGCCAATCCTGATGTGGCTCATACCAATAAAATTAATACCAAATGATAACTGTGCAAAAAATAAAGATATAATTTATTTATACAGAAAAGAGGCTTGCTATTAATCAAATTTTACAAAATATAATGTAGCCGGTAAAATTTTAAAACTTGTAATATTACAGTGCAAATACAGAATGTTACTAATACAAAGAGATGACTACAGGAAAGAAAGTTACAGAAAAGAAACATAGAATAATACATTACGCAGACATCCTGATGGCTTGGCTTCCAAAGAGAAAAGGGACAGAAACTGAGCAATGGCATACTTTTATACCCCCTCCCCCTCCATTCCAGGTGGTCACACCCTTCAATAGGTTCCTGTATTTTGCCATTGATGTTCAAAGGGGGGCTCTGCGATTTGTGAAAGATATTGGCCAACTGTAGCTCATCAGATGGAATTTAGGATAGGCCAATGTCAAGGGAAGCATACCTCCTTTGAAGCCAGTACCCACAGTAAGATCTATGACAATACTTCCTAGGAGGTGTTAGAAATGATGACTTCAGGGCTTATTCAGCCAGGTGGCCATACTGTTATAAACCCCTACAGGAAAGCATTAAAAGGGGGGGGGGGTGTTGAGGTGATGAAAGATTAGTTGCAGGAACTGAAGCTTGGGCCCCTATCAGAATCTCACAATAACGTTAGGCCCAAAATAGCCATTACAGGATCAGCTTGCTCCAAACAAACTAAGGTCACAAGAAACAGATGCGTTTTTTTTTTTTTTTTTTTTATACTTTAATTTTGGTTGTTTTCAAGAATTAAAACAAAAAAAAATTCAGTATATATACTGCTATTTGTATTATTACTATACAGGATTAATATGGCGCCAACAGTTTGTGCAGCGCTTTACAAAATGTTTATAGACGTTATAACATTCACATAAACCAATTTATTTACATGTATTGGAATTTTGTTTTAGTAGACATGTAGCAGAATACATTTTGGCCTAAATTTATGACTAAATTTGATTTTTAAAATTTTTTTTACTGGATATGTTTTATAGCAAAAAGTCAAATATATATATATATATATATATATATATATATGTATGACTTTTTGCTATAAAACATATCCAGTAAAAAAAAATTTTAAAAATCAAATTTATATATATATATATTTTTTTTTTTTTTTCGAAATTGCTGGTCATTTTTTGTTTATAACCCAAAAAATAAAAACTGCATTGGCGATCAAATACCACCGAAAGAAAGCTTCACTTGTGAGGAAAAAAGGACATACATTTCATTTGGGTGCAAAGTTGCATGACTGCGCATTGTCACTTAAAATAACACAACGCCATATCGCAAAAAATGGCCTGGTCAGGAAGGGGGGTAAATCCTCTGGAGGGCAAGTGGTTAAAAGTATTATGCAAGTGATACACTCCTGTGATCTTTGATCCAGAGGTCCCAGTTTTTTGAGTGAGGCTTTGGACCTCTACATAAATCTATATTCTTTGCTGTTGAATATCTGGATTCCCATAAGATGCTAAATATCTGTATCTTTATGAAGGTTTGGAATAAGTGAACAGACCGAATTTCAAGCTATTTTAAATGTTTGTGGCAGTATTCATATTCTAACAGATATTTAATGGAAAAATCAATCAATCAAAGTTTTTTAATTTTTTGGGAAAACATGTTGGTATTCTTTATAACACATGGGGTCTTTTATAATAGTTCTCAGATCTATATAATATTAGGTATTTCCTTTCAAAGGGAATTAATCATGTGCTCAGCTTATTATACTGGAATATAAAAGCCATCTTTGAACCTGTTGTTTTAAAAAGGTAATTTATCAAAGATGAAAGTATTAGCCATCAAAGTGATTTTTCGGTGAAGTCTGTTGAAGCAAAGTGGAAAGAAAATACATTGGGAGAGACTCAAGTATAGTTAAATTTAGAGAAAACAATTTTCAAATCAAAGAGCGAAAAATAAAACTTTACCCAACCTAAATGGCTGCCCTTTACTACTTGTTACTGCAGGGGTGTTGTTTTGTTTTGAGCCATCAAGATTTCACTTCAGTGCCTGCTAAAATTCCAGGAAAGGGAACTGCAAAGTGAAAAATACCTTTAATAAAAATTCAAAAGTTTGGCTTGTTATAGAGGAACTTCACAGAACTCTCTCACCCCACCTTCCAATTTTGTTTTTTCATAATTAAAGTGGTTGTAAACCTCAGTCATGGAATCTGAACAAAGCTGCACATACATAGTGTTTGCTTGTCTCTCCAAAGCTCTGAGTGTCATTTTCCTCTGTTGCTTTGTCACTCTGTTATCAGCATGTGTCACTGTTGACAAGTTGTCCTGACACTAGAGATAAAATGATGACAGGGGAGGGGAGCTCAGCACACAGCTTATCTACTCACAACACAGCTTGGCATTGTTCCTGCATTCCTGTGCTGTGTGAAGGGGTGTGTGTCTTTCTTCTATTCAGCTCTCACACACTGTACAAGAGCTCTCACTGCAACTCCCCTACCCCCTCCTCTGTGTTACTGACAGATTCTGAGGGATTTTATCTAAATCTAGCACTTTTGAAGGGATGTAGAAAAGAAAAGATTAGATAAACAAGTACAACTTATGTAGGAGGATTTGTTTCATCTCTGAGTATCACCTGAGGCTATTCACTTCACTAGGTATATGAGAGGGTTTACAACCACTTTAAGGGAACTAGCTATACAATCCAGGAAAAGACAACCAGCTTTCCTGATGACACACACTGGCACGTATGCTGTATAGTACCCCAAGACCTCCTTGCCTGGGTGAGATTCCTGGAAATGCAAGGTGGGTTAAATGTTAAAAAGAAAAATAAATGTAGAATTGTTGGGGGGGGGGAGGTTGTGGTTTTGAGAGAAGGCATGGAATGATGAAAAGTAGGTTGGGTGAAGGTTCCCTTTTTAAAATCAATGTTGCATACTGTAACTGTTTGATAAACATACCCCCATCATTTTTGTAGCCTGGGTTTTCAAATAACTGATTTAGTCTGATAAGGGCATCAAAGGCAGCTCAATAAAGAGGCTAGCCTTCTTCATTACTTGTGAGATTGACATTAACTGTGTTGGCCGTACAGCACATAATGTGGATGGGTTAAATGTAGCAAGAGTGATGGTTACAAGAGCAAAGTAGTACAACATGATTTCAGAGCAAGAATGAATACAACATATGAAGAATATTCTACATCCAAAGTTCTTTTCTGATTTAGGATGTTTATACACATAATTATATTGCATGGCATAGGTTTTATTTTTTTAAAGAATGATTTAGTGAAGCTGAGAAAAAAAAACATATTTTTTCATACACTGCATCATATAGCGTTCGTTATATGCTACCAACCTTTTTGTCTTGTTACAAGTTTCCTCTTGTGGCCTGGTTGCCATGGCCGCATGATAATATTCACATTTTTGTGGTAGTTTCTCTCTCTGTACTAAGGATCTGCTCTGCTTCATCTGTTATCTGTTCTCTTGAGCTTTAATGACAGAGTTATAGGGGCCCCATACACCCACTAAATTTCACCAGTCATGCAACCCGTTTCAGTATCATCTCTGCCTAAAAAACAGAGCAGCTCTTTCAATGAGTGAGCCTTAAACCCCATACACACAATGAGAATATTGGACGAATGATCGTCTTTTTATTTATTTTTTGCATGCTAGTCCCATATCGAAAGTGAAGAGGTTGCTGAAGTTACGAAAATTCTTGTACAACAGAAAGAAAATTCGGAAGTGATGTAATGTATTTTTATTGTATTTTCGGACAAAAACTGCTGGTTTAAACATAAATTGGACGATCTGGTATTGTAAGAGAAAATTTTTTGTGCTTGTCCCTTCAAATCATTTTGGATGAAAGCTGTGTACGAACGATCAGATTATTGTACAATCTCTTCGCAAAGTCGTATTTTTCGTACAATTTTCTAATTGTGTGTACTAAGCTTTAAGCAGCCCATAAAAGGGCAAAATTCATTTTATTCCCCTATCAACATGGTCAGTTTTGACAGGGGAATTCCCGCCAAGCCATTGTCGAGGGAAG